TATCTTACTGATTTATATAAAAAAAGAGAGAAAACATAGGTCTAGTTTAACAAACATTTAAAACAAAATATCTTCAAATGATGAACAAATACTTCACATTTTCATTCCTTTTTAAGGAACCGGAAGATATTGTAATTGGGAAATTTTAAGAGTTACTTAGCAAGAAAATGTTTGGTTCAACGAGTAACAACTCAACACTCGGGTATCCCAAAAGCAACGATTAAGAATAAATAAGAAAAAGGCATAAGAAGGGTGAGGACTTTAAAACTTTCACTTAACCTGTCACATGTTTGGGTAAAAGAGGTGGATTGTGTTAAGTAGACGAACAACGTAAAATTATGTCAAAACTTTTTATGAATCTCAAATCTAAACTGGTATAATACGAACTTTTTGCTTTCATATACATTAGTAATGAGAATGGAAGATGAGACACTATGTTGAGCCATCCGCCCCTCTAATACCAATACCCCAACCCATCCCCAATTATTATTATTATTAAAAAAACGCCACATATTCGGAGTTTACTTTTACAACCTTCAAGAGGGATTTCAATTATGTACATTGTGCCCTTATGTTGTAAGAATTAGTGTTTCACAATTAGAAATCAGAATCGTGTTGTCCAATCCCATTCCCCAATCTTGACAAGCGTTTGATGATGACTTCTATGTCTGATTTTGACGATTACTAAGTCAAACTAGGCTCCAATAGATGAACTAATTTACGACGTTTTAAAACTGGACGACTGATCTAACAAGGGATTCAAATGAAAATTGGTTGGGACCAAACTGGACTCGTGACGGTATCTCCCTAAAACCCCCGTTGTATATATTTTTTGCTGTTTTTTTAAGCTTATCTAACTCCCTTCTAAATATCCACTCCATAAGCCCTATTTTATTTTTCAATTTATTTATTTTTAATACTTTTCTGGATCATCGATTTGAATAAATCTAAACTCGATCTAAATCACCAATCCAGCAATCCGACAATGGATGAACAATCTACCTTATCGTGAGGGTTTTGAAATACTATTCACATTTGACATGAACAAACCATTCACCTAAGAATCTTAATTAGATGAATCATCGACCAGACAAGAATTAAACTTGGTTCAATCTTTTCAAGTGTACACGCGTCCGGATTTGAGAAGGCTCTACGTCCGCAACATGATGACCTGATCTATTCAAGTAGCAATGCATATGGTAATCCATTGAAACAGTACCTATAGTTGCAGTACTAATATCTAGGGAAACAAATTCCACGGTGGAGAAAAAAGTAGCAAGATCTTAATGGTTGGTTCCATTCTTTGGCCGCCACGGTCAATCCTTATATTCGACGATGATGAAATGGACCAATATTTTTCATAATCCATTGGATGCTTTTCCATATCCAAATATGTATGGAGCATATTTACTTCCTTGGGTTTTCAAGAAGGCGCGGGTACATGGGTACTTGGCTTACTTATGGCGTAGAGACCATGTTTTCACCTACTAGAAAAAGCAACCTCACCCTCTATCTTAGTTGCATTTCGTGCTCAGAGCCATAGTGGTAGTACCTCTATGCTTTAATTAATTGCACATCATGCTTTCTAATTTCACTTACAGCTTTGAAAACCTAATCATTTAAAAATTAGATAACGGCTGCATTCCCTATTGAATTATCCGAAAAAAAAAAAGAAAAAGCCTCACACCCGTAAATGGGAAATGTTCACTAGTTGTGGGCATAAATAGCTAGATACAACAAGGGCAAAAACATTGGTGGCCCACCCATTGATCTAAAGAAAGGTGGCAATGGGCCGGGCCGTTCTGACCCTTGCCTGGTTAGTCCTACAAGGATTAACTAGAGCCAAATGATAAGAATAAACAAAAGAACAAGAATAGTAGAAAAGAGCCAAGCCAACTTGATCATAGACCTGGCAAGCCCGCCCCGTCCTTGTCCTCGAGATGTGGTGGCCTTGCCCTAGCTAGGGCGAGTTGAGCCAACCGGCGGATTCTACCGTGCTGTAGAAAACACGGTGGCCTGGATGTGCTCGCCACACAATACTGCCCATGTGCCAACGTCATATGATATTATTGCCCTAGTAAGGAAAATCTACCCATGCTCTATATGGATAGAGTTCAATTTGACGTGTTTAGAATGTAGACGCCCATGACTCCGGCAAAGTACAATTTGTTTGGTTTATGTGAAATTGGTTTTCAAAAAATATTTTCACATATAAAAATTCTCTCATGTGGTTAAATATGTGAATATTTTTATACCATTGGGTCTTAGTGCATCTTTTCACACCACTTGACAAATAATTGATGTAAAAATATTCTCACACTTAACCACATGAAAGAATTCTTTCATGTGAAAATGTTTTCTAGAAAACAATTTCACACGAACCAAACATGCAATAAGATATTAGCTCTATGTTTAAAGTTCCATATTTTCCATGCGGGACAAACCTATTTCTTCCTTTCATTTTGTTAAATGCAATAAGAAAGTTATTCTAAAACAACTACCTTATACTTAAAAACAATATATAATGTTCCATTCCTAATAAGCATCCCCACTTTAGTTGTAACTTGAAAGCATTTTCGACCACATAAAATTTTAGGAACTAAAAAACATGGCCTTTTCGGCACTTAGCTGTATTTAGGGGTCAAGCACCTTATATTAATAAAGTGTTGAATCCCTCACGCAGCAAACAACACACAAATGCATAAGTAAATAAATAAAATGAAACTTCAATCAAATAATATACATACAATATTAAATAGTTCAATCTCATATGGGTACTTTGACAATATTCCCATAAAAAAATATTAATCATAACATGTTGACAAAGAAAATGAACAAATAAACTAAGGATAAGTTGTATTCAAAAGGTATTTTTTTGGAAGAAAAGCGAATGCTTTAGTTGTAATTGGTACAGGAGAGAACAACGTAATTTCTTTCTAAATAAATAGATTTCTTTTTTTTTTTTGACGTGTTATCGATATGAATGGAACCTACGTTACGTTGCGGCACCTACCCTCAAACCACAGATGACTCGACAGCGTTTCCCTTCGAAATAAAAAGTTTTTTCATCTTATCATTTGTTTGATTTTTTCTACTTCAGTTAGGTTGGCTGGGTTTCGAACACCAGACCAATATGAAATGCCCGAAGGAAAAGTGGACGGTCGATATTTCTTCTTAGGAAAAAGGACTATCCAGATTCCATAGTACATACCAAGGAGTTTCATCTTGGGCCCAACATGTGCCGTTGCACGTGTTATAGCATCATAGTTGGTTAAAGGGTTCACATAAAGGTCATGGCGACTCCTAGAGCTTTGCCATAAGGGCATTAAAAAACTTTAAAAAAAGGTCTTCCCAGGCTTTACACGTGACAACACTTATATATATAATATAAAATATAATAATCTAAAAATATATATAATCCCGACTCTGAGCTGTTTAGATATAAATAGATGGTTGAAATGGCATGAGTCACAATATCATAAGTTGAATCCTAAGCTTTAGATCTTGGTTCTATTGGTTAGAGTATTTTATTTGAATTTTTATTTTATAAATCATTTTGTATAGAAATTTAGAGACGTGTGTTCTTCTGATAGAGGTGCACAAGATAAAAATAGTAAAAAATATTTTTTGATGGAAAATTTTCATAATAACCCTAAAATATTTGAGGATAGTTTGGTTATTTATTTTCATGAGAAATATATATTTTTTAAATTTTTTGCTGGATGTGACACAGTAAGAAAAAAAACAAACAATATTTGGCACAATATTAGGATATGAGCAATAGATAAAACAGATAAGAAGTGGAACTACATATAATTTATACGGAAAATATCTTTGTACACTTTTATTTAAGGTTTCATTTATCAACAGAGCAAAAGTTTCAAAACACATCTTGCATAATAGATATCCCCCATATTATATCTTCTAACTCCTTCGACCGATTTTTCTTCTCCCCAATTACAAGATCCATTATCTTTATAACAATAAGTCAATAATAGGACCTAGAGTCTATCATCATCCCACATACGGTTGGATGGTGATGGAGGGGTAGGTCATACTAGATGTCTCACCCACTGAATGGGCAGTGATAAGCCACATGGTCATGACCAGAGGGATCACACTATACAACATCAAATAGCGTTGTAATTTTGAAAGAAAAGACCGTTTTCCCTTATCCGGAGAAGGACAAACTAGCTATTTGAAAAGTTCAATATGCAACCGAATAAAAAGAATGTCATAATCATAGCCTATACAATAACTTTTGTTTCAATAAATAGCGGTATGCAATAACGCAATAACCAACCGTTATACGAGGAATCTTCAAAGCGAGATTTTAGGCAAATATTCCGGGCTAAATCCACACTGTTATACAAATAAAACTTGAATCCTTATCTTTTTAAAAGTGGTAACGTGTACCCTTATCTCTTTAAATTCTCATTCTTCATATGGAAGACTCTCTCAATTCAATTCTTTTTTTATAAAAGATCTCTCTCCAAATTAAAGAAAATTTTTTATATGAAATTAACCTTTTAAATAATCGAACAAAGCCCACCTAAACATTTCACTGGAAGAAGTTGTTTCGACGTCAAAAAAAAATCTCAAATCTGATCAGTTCGACCTTGAGATACATAGATGTAAAAAAAAATTTAGACTTCAAGTCTGGAAAATAATACATTTCATAATACATTGTCTAGACCATAAATTTTCAAGATTTTATAAATCTTAGATCTACTTGATCTACATTATTTTTTAACCTTTAAATTTTATAATGAGGGACAAACATAAATGGCACTCATTCTTCATAGAGACACGGAATAAAGATGTTAACCAGTTAAAATTAATTTAGGGGGACACCATTCGATAAAATGAAGAGAGAGAAAGAGAGAATTTGGAGAGGTTAAAAAATAGAGAGAGACCCAACTAGGAAAAAAACACAAGGACAAGATGAAGTGGAAATCTTAGGAAATGGCAGAAGTGGATAAAAGGATTAAAGAACTCACCGACTGTCTGGGTGGATGATGACTGATTGGGTGCAACCCCTGAAACCCTGGATCAGTCTTTCTTGGCTCCCTCCGCCTCTCTTTGTGAGCTCACTTAGGAGGGCAAAACGACTTCCTCTCGATGAGTTTATTCTCTCTCTAAACTCCTCCACTTGATATTCCTCCTGCATATCTCTCTCCTCCGAACCAGGACACATCGCTTCTTCTTAATTTTGGAGAAAGGATGAGAAAGAGAGAGGTCTTCACATAAGTTTTAAATTTTGAGAAAGATACAAGGAGAGAGAGAGCTTCACATGGGGACCTGCGATGCAGAGAAAAAAAAAAATGCAGAAAACATCAGAATTTGGAGGAAAATATCATGTTCAAATCATCCAAATTTTCATTTTGCAGTAGAATAATAGATTATAAAGATTTCATATTGCGGTAGAATAATAGATAATAAAGATTTGTATGGTTGAAATGAAGCTTTAATGCTAGAAAATCCTGCAATATCATAATCTAGCAGTAAAATCCTGTCGAGGCCTCTGAAACAAAGATCAGGTGCCATGATTCAGATATACTAAAAGAGGTTTATTATTTTAAGATATAAAAGATAGCCATTTTTCTTTTTAGGGATTTGTGCCTAATATCAAGTTTTTGAAAAACAAAGTCATCATTTGACAGAGGTGAAAAATACAGTGACTCTGTTCCTAAAGGCGATATTGCATAAACTTGAAAGAAAATTGCATAAACTTGAAAGAAAATTGTTCAAATCACTGCAACTGTAAAATGGCAAAGTAATCAAATGGCTCAAATAAAACGAAATGACTCCGAAATTCTAAATTCCTTTCCGTAATTTACTATGGATCAATCAAGCAATGAATTCCTCTCACCACAGCTTACTAGAAAAACAAACTCTTGATCCAAGACAATGTTCAAAATAAACTGATTCAATTATCAATATTGAATTCAATAAAATTCCCATTTTCTTCAATGAAATTCAAATCTTACCGAACGACCATTCCTGGTGCAGGAAAGCAGTGATAAACAAAATTGCAATTTTTACCAGAGAAACGAGAGAGATATGATTATAACGCCTTAAATCTCACCATTAAAACCAGAAATTGAACTTCAGGGCTCCAAAACTGATCACTGGACGCAGTTATTCAGGGCATTCGAGATACACAAGAGGATTAAAAGAAACGTCACCTGAACCGTTCGTTTTTTATCTTAACCGTTCGTTTTCTATCTTAACCACGAACTTTCTGGTGAGAATCACAGGGATCAATTGGCACAGAGATTCTGCAAATTTCTTGTTTGCTTTTCGTTCTTCTAGTTTCCGGTCTCTTTCTGTGCTATAAAGTCCTGCAACTTTCTTACAGTTCAAGGGTTTTTATAGTGATCTGCGTCTCCATTCTTATTTATTAATCAATTTGTATTTTTTTTTTGTTTATTTATTTGTTTTTGGTTCATTAAAGGGGGGAGAGAGAACGGAAAAAAGAGCGGGAAGTAGAAGTGAGGAATATGGAAGGCGGCGAAAACGTGGAGGAGTCGAAAGACAGGTCACGATAAATGTACAAATCTCCCTGTAATAGTTCGAAATTGCGAATGTGCCCTCTCAACTTTTGTCATTCCCGTTAGTGCTGAGTTTCGGGTGTGGCGTCTCGATCCAAGGGCCTTAAACGGAAAATCGAAATTTTTAGAGACGCCGGTTTTTAGCGAGATAAAAAGGCCATTATTTTGACGAAGTCTTGAAACTGCACAATCTCTTTTCTTTTCAGGAAAATAAAAGGAAAAATACGAGATTAGTGTGAAGTGTGAAATTAAGTCCCTTCCATTATTGTCCAAAAGTCCAATTTTTGTGGTTATGGTTCATGTTTAATTACTCTTTTCATGATTTTATGGCAAGGAAAACGACACAAATCTATCTTTTCTCTCGTGAGTACTTTTATTCATGAAATATGAATCCTGAGAAAATATAGCAACGCTAAATATTATTATTATTATTATTATTTTGTAATTCAGTGAGGATAACCGCCCCTACCCCTTTGTTAGTTGTTTTTGAAGGTGTTAGGTGAGAATGGTCCGAACATACTACTTATAGCCCCTATTTGACAACTAGCGTGAGTAACTTGGGCTCGCCACCTTAGCAAGCTTGAGCATCTCTAAGTTGGGTGTCTTACTTAGGGATTTTAAAAAAATTATAAAAATCTAAATAACAAATACATTCTATTTATAATATTTTTTATGTCCTATTATTTTGACAAAGATTAGAAAGTATTTTGGCAATGAATATTCATTTTTATATTTTCCTTTCTTTTTGGATTATTTCGAAAAGGACGTTGTTAACATATGCTACCAGCCTGCATCTTATAGAAATGCAGGCTTTACAATAAATATATTTTTTAAATATAATTTGATCCTAATTGTTAGAGGATATATAATCTTTAATATAGAGATCATGAATATGAAAAAAAATTAAAAAATAGAAATAATAATTATACTAAGAAGACATTTGGACCGTCAGTTACAATTGTTTTTAGATGAACCACCTATTTGTATCCATCTTTAAGATGGATGCATTATACCTTTGGACCACATATTGTACAAATGCGGTCCAACCGACATGAAACAATTGTTCTTTCAAAATTATCCTTCCTTACAAATTAATTTTTTTTAAATCTATATTTTATTATTTTTTAATCTCATTTATATGGGTTTTTGTTTAATTGTACTTTAAACATATATATTTTTAAAATTTTTATATTTTAAAAAATTTTAACGTTTTTCAGCTTGAACAACAACCAACCGAGCTATGTACCTTTCAACAGTATCATCAAGACATTTCTTCTTCTTGACGATCCATCTGCAACCAATCGCCTTTCGCTCTTCCGATACTTCGATGAGATCAATGTTTTATTTTTTCATAGGACCTTCATCTCTATTTCTATAGAAGCTCTCCATTGACTAGTTTTATCGACTTCATATGCCCAAAAAAAAAAAATTTACTAACCTTCTTCTATTAGACAAACATAATAAATGACATAGGAGTTAGGCACCACATAAGCTTTTTTAAGCCTATCCGATTTCTTAATTCAAGTCTACCAGGGCCCTGAGTCGTTTGATAGGCAGACCTCTCCCTCCAAACGAATCCAAATCCATCACACGTCAATGCACTTCAACAAATAGATCTCTTTCCTTCTCTCTCCCATAGAAAAAGACAGAAATGGACCCTAGTCTCTCTCTTTTTAGACTTTTAGGGGAACATTGATTCCAACATGTTTCTCTCATCGTTCACCGACCCCACTTGGTTTTTGCCGCTCACACACACCACAGAAATTCTGTAAGTTTTCGAAAGGCAATGTATATATTTTTACAATGCCGATGTAAGAATTAACATCTCCTTCTCGATTTTTACCACCTCTCAGCTCTCTCTCTCATGTAAGAATTAGATTCAATTACGTACACACAAAAAATAGGTAAAATACAAAAAGAATCAAATTAACATAAAAATTACAAAAAATAGATTTTATAAATTTTTTTGGAAAGCCCCTCGGTTGTGTTTTATGTTGTAAGACAATTGGCGACGGGTTCAAGGTCCTTATCCTTAGATTGGTTAGATTGTGGTGTTATACCCCATCATAGGCGGTTTGAGGATGTAGATCCCAAACCGCTTGTTAGGCTCAATCCAGTTAGCAAGTATGAAGTCACCATCCCAAGACCACCCATAATGTGGTGCTCGACCATATTATAGGCAGTTCGAGGTTGTAGACCTCAGACTGCCTGTAATGTGGTGTAAGACCACAATGTGGACGGTCTAAGGATTGGAACTTCGGATAGGTCGTTAAATGTCTTAAAACATAGGACACAACAAAAAAACCTTAAAAAAAGAAAAGTTAAAACCGGTCCCGAGATAGTATCCTCGGACTGAGAGGCATTTTGAAAACAATTTAACAAATTGGTTACTACTTTATAATTTTTTAATCAATCCAACGCTTTTTATATTTGCCTGCTTTTTTTTTTGCGTGTGTTCATAATTGGCTCAAATCTCCTTCTGGATTTTTTTTCCCCCACCCCTCTTCTCTCTCTCGCGCGCTTAGCTTTTCAATATGGACCGGGCAATTTGAAAGTAATACATGTGAAAGGAAAGTGTATATTGTATATCGGGTTAATATAGAAAGCATATATTGCAATCAGTATTTCTGGCAAGGGTTGATAGAGTATCTGCAGTTTATAATGAGATCAGATATGGTTTAGGTATCTATGATTTAATTTATATTATTGTCATTTGTGATTTGTACATTCATATGATTAATGGACACAATGAGTTTCTTCAGAGAAGCCTGAGACTTTTCACATGGTATCAGAGCCAAATTCATCTTAGTTGTGTCCATTCTTCGTACCTGAAGCATTGTCGCCAATTTCAAGACGAGTCTGTTGCTTACCCAGTTGATGCAACTTCTGTTGAGTCGTGTTTCAACTCTTTGATATGTCCTCTCTGCTGAGTCGTGTTTTGACTCTCTAATCTGCCCTCTCTACTTAGCCATGTTTCGACTATCTGATTTGGCTCTCTGCCGAATTGTGTTTCGACTCTCTGATCTGTCTCTATGCCGAGTCGTGTTTCGACTCTCTGATCTGTTTGATATTTTTCAATAGTTTCTGAAGTCAGATGTTCTCGAAGCTTGATGATTCATCACTGCTTTCGGTGCTTATTGATCAAACAATCTGAGTATGCACTTGAAGATCTAACTGCTCATTCCCGCAATTTGTATTCAAACTCTAGCTGCTCTCTCTCACATATTGAATTTGAAGGTGAGTGTGAAAGAAAAGTGTATATTGTGTATCGGGTTAATATAGAAAGTATATATTGCAATTAATATTTATAGGAAGGTTGATAGAGTATATGTACTTTATTATAAGATTAGATATGATTTAAGTATCTATGATTTAATTTCTATTATTATCATTTATAATTTATTTATAAAAAGCAAGTCCGAATGCATCAATGTACACAAAGGAGTCTCTTCAGAAAAGCCTAAGACTCTTCACAATACCTAACCAACATGTTGCTTTTTTGCAAATTTATTAAGTTAGAGTGGTGGTTCTCAGTGGGTGCTTCGTATCGTGATAGTGACTTATCATTCTATCAAATTTCATTGGACTAGCCACATAATTGTTTGCAAAAGGATTTTGTATTCCGAGGGAGCATATTGTCCATTTACTCCCTCGGGTGAAATCTAACATAGAAGTCGTTTTAAGATTTTAAAGTTTGGGAACATCACCTCTTCAACTCATAGGCTAATTATATAAAACAAAAAAAAAAGAAAAAAAAGAAAATCAAATCACACTCTATCTGCACTTTAAAAAAAGAAATATCTTAAGATTGAATAGAGGACCATTCAAGTTTTTAAGGCGAGATCTAAGGGTCAGAAAAAACTTAATATTTAATTATTATTTATTTGAAAATATTCATCCAAATGACTCTTTGGCAGCTTCCAAAGTTTCAGATTTAATAAAAGACAGTTTCTATGAGTCCCCGTTCACCTATTTAACTTAGTCCTCTCTCCAAATTGAATCTCATATTCCAGAGATTGAAAATCTAAACCACGATAACTATGAATATGAAAAAATAATTTTAAAAAATAAAATAAAATATGAGACTTTTTTTAAATATAGTTTTAACACCCTGAGTTTTAAATCTAGGTGGGCCCACCGTTTGTTTACATCCATCTAAAAGATGGATGGATGTTGAGTGTGTTAGGGATACAATTGTAGAAGTGCAGTCCTCACACACCAATTACTTTTTCTTACAAAAATACTCCCATGTAGGTTTTTTTGCTAGAGGGATTAGATGTACAGCATGCTTCCACGGGACCATACTATACATGCTTAATCAGTCATACACTGCCTGTGTCTGTCTGGTGCACCATGGGAGCTTTTCTGTCTTTCTTTTAGGTCAATGATAAAAAGGGTGTGGTTTCCATGAAGTTGCAACCTTTACCAATCCAACTAAGGTGCACCTTCAAAATTTATCATAATATATAATTTTGATGAAAAATATTTTTAAGATTATTTAAAAATCAATTTTTATATCTAATTATAAAATTTTAAATTTAAAAAATGGTTATAATCAAATAGATCTATGAACATATGAAAATCTTAAAAATGGACGGTGTAGATAATATGTTGTAAGATGTACTATTTATGAGACTCAAAATCTTTTTATTTTTTATAATTATATATCTCGATGTCAAGATGATCAATCATAGGGTTTTTCAATATTAAAATAACCTTTTCCGATAGATTTTGAGGTGCATCCGTAGTTCTACATATTAATGTTGCAACCATATAAACTTTTTCCATGATAAAAAA